TCGATGAAGATTAACACCAACCAAAACAACAAACGACTTATTGTATGTGTTGCACTTGTAAGTCCTATCAAATGCAAGAATATGTCCGAATATTTTATAATCTGCGCGTGATATACAATCAACCCATAATAACTTCTCTAAGTTTCCAAATTCATCCTTCGTGTACCTCGCAAAAAAGAAAAGATCAGATTCTTGTTTTCCATTTAAGTACGTCATCACCGTTTTAGCATTACCATCTTGCTCTTCTTCTCGTTTTATTCTATATAAATAGTTGTACAAATCCTTTAGTAGAAATCCAATATTCTTCACTCAAGATATTTGACATCATCTTACTTGGACCAATTCTAGAGTTGTGTGTGCTCTTAATCTTAACTCAATCTAACCTACTATTTTTTCTAAATGACCTACCAAATAAATCATTAAATAACATTATATATATATATATAAGATAGAAGTTATCATGTAACAATTTACTTTTAGATGAATTACATACCTGATGTAAGCAACTTGTGTTGGTTAAACCAATTCATGGTTATGTTCTGCATGAAATTTAGCAACTTTCCAATATTGATACCAATTTGAATCTAATAAATGCTCTATATCCAACTCGAATAACCGGTATATATTCATGTTTTCTATTTTGAAGGTTAGTCCACCTTTCCTCTCTATATCCCTCCTTACAACACACCTTTTTATTTGCAATTATGTGACCACCATTTCGACTTTTCACTGTATGGTTGACTCGAACTCCAAAATCTTTCACCTTTGGATAGGTATGATAAAATTTAACCCAATCGTCTGAAGTCTTCCACTTCAGCATATTCATATCATTCTCATTGTAATCTTTTAATTCCTTCCCAATCTTATCTCATATGCTTTCGTCAAAAAAGTTGTCAGTTGTCTTCTCATCATCTATATGTTTGTCATCGTTAATAGGATAATATGTTTGTTCTTCTTCGGTATAAGTTTCACAATCGGATTCAATGTTATGTCTATCTTTATAATGATTATGGTCATCTTCATCTTGCTTATAACCATCCAAGTCTATAATTTGAATTTTGGTATCTACTTTATCAACCATCTCGAAAAAATCTGTATTTTCAAAAACATAAATAAAAATAACATTATTAAAATGGTGAATAACATTATAATTGTATTAAAATAAAATTATACAAATCAAGCATATCATACCAATACCCTCTAATAGAGTATCAGTACACATAACTGAAATTAATAACAGTGTACAATTACTGTACCGGTACATACCAGGTACCGATACTTGCATGCCTGCATACCGGTACACATGAGCCAAGGTACCAGTACAACTTGTGGGAAACAAATTGGGAATTCATAATTGGATTTCAAAAATATGATTCAAACCTAGGAATTAGGGTTCAATTGTTCTAATTGAGGTTCTAATTTAGGAAATATGGTACTCAATTTGGGAATTAGGGTTTTTAAATTAGACTAATTGAAATTTTAGGGTTGGTGTTATGGTTAGGGTTTAAGAATTAAAATATTAGGTAAAGATGATGAGATAACGGCAACCCCACATCGGCATCCACAACACTTCTATTCATGATACCGATAGTCAGTGACGCCCCACCCGTTGGTGGTTGCTTGGTCGGAAGCCCAAATGTGAAACAGAATAAATTTAATAAAACTTACCTTAAGGGATTTGTTGCGCGAACGATGGTGAACGAATGGCACGTCGGGAGGGATGAACGGAAAAGACTCAATCACCGGAGAAAGATGATACTGGTGGCGACGACGACGACATAACAGGAGCTTCAAAGATATGAAAATAAATTAGGGTATATAAATTTCTCAAATTGATATTTGATCTTATTATAATTCAAATAATATTATAAAAACTAATGTTTAATAAATATTTTATTTTAATTAAATTACATTTTAATTTTTAACTAATTTATAATTATATGTTTAGCACTTTATAATTTAACGTTTTATAATTTAATTTAATGGTGCTCATCATTAACCATGCTTATCTGTGCTCATTGAGCATGGCAACATCATATATATATATGGGATATGATTTAGTTTCACAATGTAAAATTCTTTTAGTTTTACACAGATTTAGATCTTTGAATGAGTGAAAATAGATGGTTGAGATTAACAATAGGAATGAGAATATATTCATTGAAGAAAAAAAATGAGTCAATCTCAACTATCTATTTTCACTCATCCAATAGTCCTAAATCTGTGTAAAACAAAAAAGTTTTACATTGTATAAGTGGATCATAACCGCGTATAATATGAAAATTTCTAGAATGGATGTCAAACATTGATATTTAGCATTAATTTTATAAAGTAAAATTCATAAATAGACATTTAATTATATCAAAATGATCTCTTCAGATATCAAACTTTCAAAAGTTATATAATAGACATTAAACTTTAGATTTTGTTACAAAATGAGTACAACATCATTATCTATCATTAAAGATGAGATTTTGATTTTATTTTGGAAAAAATGAGCTCTCGGTTGTCTGGTTGGGCTGTTCAGACTCTTTCTCTTGCAGGTCGAATCACGCTTATTAAATATGTTCTGGAAGCCATTCCTGTCTACTTCATGCAAACTGTTTTACTTCCGAAGAAAGTTTGCCATGATATTGAGAAGATCATCCGAAACTTTATTTGGGGCTCCTCTCCAACAACACCAAAAATCTCCCTTATCAATTGGGAATCTTTATGTCAACCTCTTAACCGAGGCGGCCTTGGCTTCCGACAATTTACGAATACAACAAGACATTCCTTATGAATATTGGTGTTGCTTTAGTCACTAAAACTAATGCTCTTTGGATTCAGCTCCTCAGGCAGAAATATAAAATTTCTGAACTGTTGCCTCTTTCAGTTCGGCGCGCCAATATTGTTCTTCCTTATGGTGTGCTCTCTCAAACATTTGGGAGGATTTTAGGCCTAATATGACCTGGTCCATCGGAGACGGTTCGACCATCAATCTCTGGGATGATACTTGGATCCCCCAGATTGACACGGGTTTATGGAATTTTTCGTTGATCTATATTTTATTCCCCGCTCATGTAATTCCCTATATTGCTAGTACCCGTTGTCCTTAAATGGGGGATACTGCCGATACTTGTAAATGGCGGTGGCAAGACCAGTTCTCTAGTGCAAATGCTTATGAAAAACTTATGGACTCTAATTGGGATCCCTGCTCCACCCATTGGAAGTCAATTTGGCAACTCCCCGTCCCTCAACGAATCGGACTTTTTATTTGGCTTGCTTTCAAGGAGAAAATTCTGACCAACGCTGAGAGGTTTCGTCGATCTCTCGTGAATAATGCTACATGTATCCTTTGTGGAGTTGCAAATGAAACCACCCTTCATATACTTCGAGACTGCATGCTTGCTTTTGCTATTTGGGACCATGTCATACCTTTATCGACCCCATTTGATTTTTTCACGCTGGGTCAAAGGGACTGGTTTTTGCATAATATCAAATTGGTACAAAGTTGTTCCCACCCTGCTAGCTGAAATATCATCTTTGCTGCCAAAATTTTTGCCAAAATTCTTCATAATCCTACTACTATTGCTCACTGTATCTTAGTCTGGACTAAACATTTTTAATCCTACAAGAATTTTAATCCTAAGCAGCCAGCTTTGCCTCGGAAATCCAAGGTCATTCGATGGACTCCACCGCCCCATCGATGGATCGCACTCAATGTTGATGGGTCTGTCTGTCCAATCTCGGGGAATGCCACCATTGGAGGCCTTTTGCGTGATCATTCAGATGCTTGAATCTCTTGTTTCAACCGTGCAATTGGATTCTCAAACCGTCTTCAAGCTGAACTTTGGGCTATTCGTGATGGTCTCTGTCTCGCTTGGAATCTTGGCTTTGAATTTGTGCAAGTTCAATCCGACTGTTCACATGTATAACGCTTATAAACGACGCTACTAATCCTTCTCCACTTGACGTGCCATCTCAATGCTGCGACAACGAAGTTGGACTCTTGATTTCATTTGGATCCACAAAGAAGCTAATTTCCCTGCAGATACCTTGGCGAAGAAACCTCCCCAACTGATTTTGATTTGCTTCAACAGGACTCTCCTCCGGACTATATCATGCACCTTCTATACCGGGACATTGATGGCCCTCCCTATTGTACAACTAGGCTGCCTAGACTAGTTTCTTAGCTTTTCACTCTTCGTTCAAAAAAAAATGATGTGGCATGCTATTAATAGAATTTTTTTATTTTACTATTAATTTTAATTAAAATAATTTTTATTATGTTAATCGAATTGAAAACAAAATGGATATAAATAAATTAAATATTATTTTTATTTTCATATTATAAATGTTAAATTTATACCATATAAATTACTTGAGATATTATTAAAAGTTAAGGATTATTTCGATTTGGATGTATTTTATTATTAATGTGATACTATAATTTTTTGAATGTATTTTTTTAAAATTTTATTTAAACTTCTTAAACAAAAGTCAAATTATTAAATCGCATCATTTAATAAAAAAAAATTACATTGTTTGATAATTCAATTTTTTGATCTCAAAAATTATAAATTTTTTATTTTAAAAGTAAATTGTTTTAATATATTTCAAAAAAATCTAATCAAAAATAAAATTATAATTATAATTTAAGGGCCAAATAAAATATTTTCTATTAATTTACCATATATATATACATATAATTCTTAGTCTCCTGTAATCTCTCAGCTCTTATCCAACACTTTTGAACTCAGATTTTCTTTTTTTGGAAATCCGTCAACGGCATTGCTATCTAAACTAATTAATCTGTTAATTAGATTGTTAACAAAAGAGTATATTTTTTCTAATTATATAAAAAGAGAAGGGGAAAAAAGAAGAGAAATTGCAATTTGCCACATCAAAAGAGGGTGGTCGGTGGCTGGAATTGTTGTATTGGCTTTCTTTCTTCTTCCTTCCAGTTTTGCTGTTGAGAATTCAATTCAGCCATCCATTTTCAGTTTTTATTTTGTTCAGTTCTATAATTCAAGAAAAATCCAAATTTGAATTTCATTTTCGAAAGCCCCTTTTCCTTGGATTACGCCTTAATCTTTCCTTCTTAATACCCACATTTTCTCTGATTCTCTCTCTTTATGTTTTGAGTCTATTCCCAAGATTTGTTTTTTTTTCAATTTGAGAAGCTAAACAAAATTTAATAACAGCAAAAAAGAAGCAGAAGAAAATGGCGACGAATATAGGGATGATGGATAGTGGTTACTTTGTTGGAAGAAATGAGATTTTAACGTGGATCAATAACAGGCTTCAGCTCAATCTCTCTCGCATTGAAGAAGTAATTTTTTTCTGAATTTAATGGCTTCCTATCACATTCTATATTCCAATGTATGATCTGTTTCATTCTGGGTTTTTGAATAATTTTAATGGACTAAGCAGAGAATGCTTTGAAATGGGTTTATGTTTATCTTCATTAAAATGGGAATGTTTTGGGCCATGCTAATTAATTTTACTTTGATTTCCTTGAAAAGTGTTAGGTTTCTCTTTTCTTTTGCCATTGATAGAGAAATCTTGACATTCATCTCTTTAAATAACTATTTGTTTCCAGGCTGCATCTGGTGCTGTACAATGTCAGATGATAGATATGACCTATCCAGGAGCTGTGCCAATGCACAAGGTGAATTACCTTTACTTCATCTTGCCTGCGGCATTCTTTTGATTTGCCATGATTTTGATTTGGAATGCAGGTGAATTTTGATGTAAAAACAGAATATGATATGATCCAAAATTACAAGGTTCTGCAAGATGTATTCAACAAGTTGAAAATTGATAAGGTAATGAGTATGCTTCATCACATCAGTGTGCATATGTTGGTTAGCTCACATGAGACTTGCACTTCTTTTGAGTTCAACATGTGTTGTTCATTGCTGATGGTAGCTGAGCATATGCCTGCACATGAATAGTTTCTCTATGAATTTGATTTCTTAGTGGTTTTCCTGAATTTATCCTTGAAAAAGATGTATATGTTGGTTTTATTGTGATTTTTTAGATAAGAAATTAGTTCGAATTTGATACCCGTAGTTTTGTCATTCGCAGCATATTGAAGTCAACAGACTTGTTAAAGGTAGACCTTTGGACAATTTGGAGTTCTTACAATGGCTGAAACGGTATTGTGATTCTGTCAATGGTGGAATCATGAATGAGTAAGCTATTTTTCCTGTCATTTTATGAATCCTTTCCTCCTTCCTGACATAATTAGTATGTTAGATTGGATTATTTAGTTTATTTTATGTGATCGCATAGGAATTACGATCCTGTTGAAAGAAGACATAAAGGTGGAAAAGAGAAGAGCTTGAAGGGTTCTCATAAGAGCTCAAAATCTCTGCAAGCAAACAGTCTCCATAACTCTGTCTGTGGAGATGCAGCTGCCATAAATAAAAACATTGGTCCGATTCTGCAATGCGATTTCTTGTGTTAATATCTTCATTTGTATTTTTTATGCATCTTTTCTTTGTCAATACTTCTTTCATGCTTTCCACTGACTTTTGTCACCATCGTATGATGCTTATCCAGCTTCCAATCAAGGGAAGATTTGTGTAGCAGCAGCTTCAAGTGACATCCGGGCTTTTTCCAAGGAGGTAATCGCATTCGAACTCTCCTTAGGTTCTTTTATCATCTACTAACCTATATTTATAATGGTTAATCGACATTCCCATGCTTTTAGTGCCAATGATGGCTGTCTGACCTGGATTGTTCCAGTTGTGATGTTATCGTATCGTCGGTTTAAATACCAGTTCATGTTCTTATACAGGTAACTGATTTGAAGCTCTCGGTTGACCTTTTGGAAAAGGAAAGAGATTTTTACTTTGCTAAATTGCGGGACATTGAAATGCTTTGTCAGACTCCCAAAGTGGAGAATAACCCGGTAGGAGTTCCTATCAAGCCCCCCAGCTTCACATCTTCTTGAATGGATTACATACATACATGCATGCCTGTATGCATGCATTAATTGTGTAGTCCTTTCCCATTATCATCTTCAGTCATACATCTTGTGCGCTCGAATTTCCCATCTTATTCATCTAAGTGGGCTTCCTCTCTATGTTTATATGATGCATGTATGCAAGGGATTGTGTTACTTTTAGAATGCATTAATTGTGCTTTTAGGCTTGCAAGTTTTTTCATATGATCCTTAGGGTTTATCATGATTATCAAATCGTTTACGGCCAGTTCCAGGATCAGAGTGCTTTTATAAAACCATTTTTCGGATCAAAAGCTTATCGAATGAAAAAAATGGATTGCAGATGGCAGTAGCAGTAAAGAAAATATTGTACGCAGCTGATGCGAACGAATCGGCACTCAAGGAAGCTCAAGAGTACATTTGCCAATCTATTGATGATGGTGAAACTGAAGAGGATTGAAGCTTTGATAATTGCAGAAACCTGGTAGCTTCTCTGAACAAATGGGCTTCGTTCTAGTGTTGATCATGAATGTTGGAAACAATGGCAATTCTTTCTAAATATATATGAGATTGAATTGACAAAACAATGGAAGCCCTTAATGTCTTACCATTTATTCAGTGTTCGTACGGAAAACCTGCAGTCTTAGATAAACTTTTAGTTTTTCATATACTAATTTTTATAAATTTCTTATTTCTATAAAACTTTAAAACATAAATGTTACAAAATTAATATGATATACATAAATGTAGCTTATTTTAGGGTAAATGTCCACCTAAAATCTGAATTTTTTTTTGTTATTTATTTTAGGGTAAAATATACGATGATCTACCGACTGTATAATAATATTTTGTTATAAAATAGTCATTTATTTTATTATTCATTATGTTTTAAACTCTTCATTTTTTGTTATTGTTAAAAAATTAACGACAGTCTGAGCTTGATGATTATCTGTTACATAAGATATGATAAAATTTAATCTCATAATTTCAAATGAATATCATATTTCAATCAACATGTTAATATTTAACTCAAACGACCATTAATTTTTTTTAAAAAAATAATGAATTTGAAACATAATAAATAATCGAGTGATCATTTTATTAACTTTTAATAATTGAAGGATCATTTTGTAACTTTCAATATTTGTAGAACTCAATAAAACCGTATCCTATAATAGGAAAATCATTTGTGTACTCTACTCTTTATTTTGAATCCGTACAAGGTCTCGAAAAACAGAAATAGCCTTCACTCATCTGCAACCCTAAGAAAAACCTGCATGAAAACGATCAAGGGGACCAGAACTAACACAGAACTCGAAAAGTATTTAGGTACTTGCATTATTTAACTAGCAAATTTGGATAATTACATAAAGAGTTATTCACACGAACAAGTCTTTTTTTTTTAAGGATCACACGAACAAGTCTTTTTGGGGTGATACCGGCACATGCAGCTTTCTCTTGAGAGAAAAATATACAGGAGCTATTATAAGGATCAATGCCTGTAGCCATCGCCATCGTATATGTAACCATAACTGCTACTCCTCGACTTGTCAGCCTGCGAAACAAGGGAGCAAATGTTGCACCAAATAAGGGCTAATAATAGTTTAAATGCCAGTTCCGAAAATAAGGCCGCTGGCATACCCGGTGAATGAGCTTCTCAAACGCATCAGTTCCATTCTCCTCAATGTATCGCTCTGCAGCAGTTAAAATATCATCCTGCTTACTGAAGAAGTCCTTCTTCCTCGGAACATACCAGATGTTAATTGTCTGTTGAGGGTTCAGAAAGAAAGGTCGCAAATAATGCTCGTAAACATAGGCAGCGCCAGAGAAGTACGGAATGACCAGCCAGCAAGTGAAAATCAGCTTTGCATAGGGCCAGATGAGAATCCTGCAGTGGATTTTTGAAACATGTTCATACAGATGCATGATATATGAGCCTCCAAGGATCCATCACACTGTTCACAAATACAAAAATAACATACTAAACAATAGAAAATAACCCCATCCAGCACACCCGAGCCCAATTAGCATAGGTTTCGATATATGTTCATAAAAAACATAAGAAGGCTTTTTGTATACAGGTTTTTCATTGTCAATCAGCTAAGGATCGATGCTCTTTAGAGACCCGGACATTAGTAAAGCATATCGGACTACAACATTTCATCAAAGCAACACAAGTATAAGCAATTTTAGGCACAGCAACCAGGAAAAAAGTTAAAACAAGGAACAATAACACCTTAGTGAAACATCAATAACTACATTATATAAAAGGGTTTCCGAGGAGAAGCAAGATTTGAAGAATAGGAATCATTCGGTCACCAAAACCACCGGTTTCAGACAAGCTCAACTACAAAATTACCTTTCAGCTGACCAACTCAAACAATACGGTTTAATAAACTGAAGCAGAAGCATCGATCCAAGCCAAGTCAAAAGGAAGAACAAGAAAGAAAGTGCAAATAAACTTACCATTCAATGACTTTGGCAAAAGTGAGCTCCATCAATGTAATCATGGAATAGAGAACCCAATATGTAAGCCATTGTCTGTCATCTGCTCGAGACTCGGACTCGATCGCCCTGACTGAGGCATATCTGTTTCGGAATTTTAACACAACAGAACAATCGAAACAATCCAAGAAAATGAAAAATCGATAAAACTTATGACCAAATGCACACAAAACAAAAAAAAATGAAATAAAACCCAAACAAATCAGGAAATTGCTTACAGGGGGTAGAGAAGACTAATAACTGGCCTGCAAAAATCAAATTAGCAAATAAATAAAATATGAAAACTTGGATTATCAGATTAATTAGTTCATGGAAAATTTTGAACTTTCCCTTCAAATAAAAAAGTGGCAATAATCCTAGAAATCTGATTTTATCTTCATGATTTTGCTTCTATTTTCATCAAGTAGTAACATCCAAAACACAAATCCAAAAAGGAAACAAGATAAAATGCTTTTATTTGCTCATTACTTCTTTGATTCGTAGTTTGATCAAAAGAAAACGAAAAAAAACAAAGTTGTAGAATTACCCAGCAAGAACATCAAAGTTCTTAAGAAGGACCTTAAGGAAATTTCCAGCCCCAGATCCCATCTCTGATCTTCAATGCTTTTGTATTCTTTCTTCTGATCTCAAAACAAAGGATAGGGTTTCGCTTTGGGTTTTTTTTTTTTTTACTAACAAAGTGTGAAGTAAAGTAGTAAGTAGGTGTGTTGTTTTTATGTGTGAGAAAACTGAAGGTGCCAAAAGCAGGTTGCAAGAGAATTATCCTCTGCTTCGGGTTGATTGGTGCAGTAATCTAACGGAGGATAATTCACAATCAATAATAAAATGGACAGTTGTCCACTGTTCTTAACTTTTCAAAAGGTTTTAAGGTTCGTCCGTCCTTGAAATATATTTTTTTAGGCTTGAGGTACGCAATTTTTAAAAGCAACCCTCGGATTATTTTTATATTTAATGTGACTGTTTGATTAATAATTTTCTTCATTGGTCGTTAACGATATAATATATAGTGATGACATGATAATCAATGATATTAATGTAATGGTCTACGAAGATTGATGATAAGGTAGATGAGTTAAATTGATTTTCTTTATTGAGTTCAATGGTTAAATTGATTTTTTTTAAAGTTTAAGGGTTTACTTAATTTTTTTTAAATAAAAAATTATTTTAAATTTTAAATATAAAATAATAAAAAATATAAAAATAAAAATACTAAAAATAAAAATTAATTACTAAAAAAGTAAAAATAAATATTAAAAATACTAAAAGCTTAATTCATTTCAATTAAACATATATGAAAACATGGTAATGCTCATAGATACCTTCAATAAAAAGAGATGTTATAAAGCATTTTTCTATTGTGCTTGTTATCGAAAGAAATTGGAATATCATCAATGGAGTCCTCCCATGAGTCAATAACTTCGATCTAAATATAAAAAATACGGTACTAAAATGAAAAGTATCAAATATAACGGCTAGCTGAAGAAGCCTAACAAAATATATAACATGCATATGTTAACAAAGATCTAAAGCAAGATACATAATAAATATTTTTTAATATTTATAATTTTTAATATCTTGTAATTATTATTTTATAGTTTGTTATGTATTTTTTATTTTTAATAGTATTTTTAATATATATATATAATTTAATTTTTTTGGTATATTCTATATTCAATTTTTTGAATATTTTTATATTTTAAATTTTAAATTAAAAATATTTTTATTTTTATTAAAAATCAAATAAGTCATTGAACTTTAAAAAATCAGTTTGGCCCTCAAACTCGACAAAATATCAATTTAGCCCATTTGCCTCGTCATCAACCATTGTTGACCGACACGTCAACATCGTGAACAACCATATTAGCATCGTGAACTGTCATATCAACATCGTAACGGTCAACGATGGAACCGTTAGTTAAAGGGTCATATTGAGTTTTTTTTAAGTTTGAGGGCCACATTAATTGCAAAAATAATTCGAAGATCGCATTTTTTAAAAAAAAAATTTTGAGGGACTCACATATCATTAATCATATTTTTTTTGTATTGCACTAATTTATTTTTAAACTATTTTGTCATTTTAACTTTTAAATGTTACTGATGTTGTTTTTATTTAATTTTATTAAAAAAATTCAATCAATCATAATGTGTTATGAGATAATTTTAATTTATTATCTTTAATAAATAAATAAAATATTACATACTTTAAATTTATATTTTTTTTAGTTTAAGCTTTAAAAAATATTTTTATAATTTAATTTAATATTATTTATAATATTTTATTTATTTAATATATTAATCTTATCCAATAAAAACATGACACATAAAAAATAAGAAAACAAGTATGCCAACTAAAGTAATTAAACATAGATCTCTTAAGAGTATAACTAACCATTCAACCACCAAATCAAACCATTTAATCATATATTATCCTTTAATATCATTTAATCACGTGAACATGTTTAACTAATTTGTAGTTAAAAGTTATTAATAACCTAAAATACTCAGACATTCGGATCCCTTCTCTTTACTAATAACTCGAACCCTAATAAAAATGCATCTTTTTGCCTAATTAGGACATGAAGTCCAAATAAGCATAATACATCTCTCCTCCTGATGAACAAATGTAATATCCAAAAATTTTGATTAGTGACCAAAATGAAAATTTTGAAAGTTTTGTAGTCAAAGTATAAACTTGGGAAAATTTAAGGACCAAAGTGTACTTTTCAAAAGTTATGAAATCCGGTCCCGTAAAAGAATAGTTTACCCCCAATAATTACGTTTCCATGGGTTTCAAAATTTTCGTACGAATTTTGTATTAAAAGCTATAAAAAGTGATAAAGTTCGGTAAAATTGGAATAATTGGATCGAATCAAATTATTGAAATATTTTGAAGGATGATAAGACAAGTTTAATAATGCCATATCCAATCTTAATTTGGAAGAATTTAATATGGATCATTGGATTTAAGATGATTTTTCCATGTTAAATAT